TCTTTCGAAAGACTGCAGAAACACATCGCGCGAGAATATTGTGAAAAGCCTATCAGCAAATTCCTCAATTTGCTGATCGAATCGAGCGTGATATTGATCAATCAGTATCACACGATCGATCGATACAACCGATCAGAATGCTGATCGGGTATCGATCAATCTATATAATCGGCTACACAAGGCAGAGACAGGCTACACGACAGGAATCGAAATTATAAGTCGTGCGGAAACAATATTATAAAAGTCACGCAAGATATTACGGAATTCCGTCGCGAAGTTCACGCGAGCCGTATTATCAGCATCTCAGGTGTCACATTCAATCGTCGGCCGCCAGAGTAACGCGAGACGCGCCGAGCCGCCCGACGACGCTTAATCGTGTGTGTAAAATATAACCGTTATAATATCAAGTATTTGTGCTCTTGTTAAAATAAATCAATCAAAGTTAAAGAAAGTGTGTGTGTTAGTGATTTCAAGAAGACCCCTCCGTTCCTTTGATCCTACTCGGAGATCCAACTCTTTAGGCTTGGCGAACCTGACTATCCCGAATATTAACGTCGTAGCTCATCCGAGGTACAACATTTTGGCAGCGGTGGGATAGTCAAAACCATCCCCCAACAACTTGAGAGGATCATAGTTGACCAAGCCAGCAGAATTGAAAGCGTAAGCCCCGACGCACTGCATTACTGGCAGAAGAGGGGATGACAATTTTTCAAAACAAAATAAGACCTGCAGTAATAAAATAAAAGCTGCAGGCAGAAGAATCAAATTTCCTATAAGTCGAAAATACAAGACCTGTAGAAAACAGGCGGACGGAAAAGGCCCGTCAAAAAATAAGCCACCCACGAAATTGTGTCAGTGTAGTGTACAGTCAGCAGAGTGCCGACCTATGACAACGAGTGTCCAGTGGCAGCGGAGCAACGACCGGAGAGCCAGCGCCGACCGTGTACACCAAGCAGCGAGGACGCTTCACCGACACGCACTACTACGCGCAGCCAACTGACACGTCAGCACAAGCAGCGACCATGCGAGCGTATTCGATCTGTCTTCTAATGTAAGTCAGAAAAATCATACTTTATAAAGCGAATGTCCGCAGCGAAGGACAACCTAGTGTATGCGACTTGGTCAAAATCGCGGCTAACCGATAATCCCGTAGAATTTCCGTACACTATCTCCGCGATAAATACCGCGAGAAACGCGCTAAAGAAAATACGCGACAACGTGCGCCGTGTATTAAGATACGATAGTGACGAAGACGTTCGCGTTATAACCGAGCGCGAATTTCCGTACGACGAAAAAGATTATAGCTTGCTCGCATTAAATGACACCGACTCCCACATTGACACACATGTACAGGCACGCAACCACAAACAAACTTACGAAACGGAAGCCTATTTGACTCTTACAACATATATCAATCATTGATAAACGAAATGGCCCACTCACCTCTCGAACCAGAACGAAATCGACAATGAAATTTTGCAACTACGGCATTCGGTTGATAGACACGGACCACAAAAAAAATCGAACAAACCGCTGCGTCACAATCGACGCACAGCCCGATAATATCATGCTTCGTGAATTAATGAACGAAATACGCGATCTCCGTGTACAAGTAAACGGATTAAGCCGGCAGGCGCAATTACCTATGGACGAATGAACGAGAGTATCTCAAGATTTTCTGCCGCACCCGTTAGATTTAACTTACGGACGTTCATATCATGACATACGAAACCAAGCGGGAAACGCACTGGCATTTCTAATATTGAAAGACGCGCGTAACATGATCCCAGAGATCGACGACACGTCACGAGGACACGTGTATGAATTTTTAAACACAAGCACGTATGCTATAAAAAATATACATCCTGCGATGAACACTCTTTATTGGAAGCTATCCTTTGCACCAAATTCAAAGACATGGATTTCCGTACGCGAGATATAGTAAACTTCGAGCAATTAAAATGAGAATTGGGAAAGGAATATTTGAGCAAACGAAGCACCGCACATTTACAACTCGAGTTTAATCGTTCAAGCAGAAACCAAACGAGAGCGCGCAAGAATTCGGTAGACGAACAGACAATATAGCCATGGAATTGTACGAATCCATGGAAGAACGCAAAAGCCATGCAGTCGAGCAGCAACGCGTAATCTTAGAAAATATAAAAGCGCAGGCGCTTTACAATTATCAGAACAGGTTACACGAAGAGATTAAATTGATTGTACGATCGCAGCGATATTAAACAATACAGGAAGCGATCGCAGGAGCAACCACGGAAGAAAAAACGCAAGGACCTAGCATTCGAATGCAAACTTATCAAAACTGACCAATTTAAAGCCCATCCGCGTTGCTAGAAATGCGGAAAAATCGGTCATGATGGCTGTGATTGCAGGACTAGTCGTTTCACAAATAGATAT